GACAAAGTTCATTTTGTATTTGAGACATGAGACCTTCATCTGAGAGACTATGAAAAATTTCCCCCAATTTTCTGATTTCCTTCTAATCTTGACTACATTGGTTTTATTTTTTTAAGGACTTTTAAATTTAATATAATCAAACTTATCCATTTTACCTCACAATGCTCTGTATCTCTTGTTTATTTGGAAATTATTCTCCTATTCATAATCCTGATAGATAATATGTTTCATGTTCTTCTAATTTTCTTGTGATATCTAATCTATCTTGTGATATCTAGATCACAAAATGTATCCATTTTGACCTTATCTTAGTATATAGTTTAAGATATTGGTTTGTGCCCAATTTTTGCCAGACTGCTTTCCAGCTCTCCCAAAAATTTTTACCAAATAATGAATTCTTACCCTCAAAACTTAAGTCTTTAAATTTGTCAAACACAAGGTTACTATAATCCTTTACTACTATGTACTGTATATCTACTCTGTTCCACTGATATCCCTTTCTATTTCTTAGCCAGTAGCAGATAGTTTCGATATTTATTGCCTTATAATATAGTTTGAGGTCTGGTACTGCTGAACCTCCTTTCTTTACATTTTTTTTCATTAGTTTCTTTGAATTTCTTGACCTTTTGTTCTTCCAAATGAATTTTGTTATTTTTTCTTAACTCAGTAAATAATTTTTTAGTAATTTAATTGGCATGGCATTGAATAAATAGATGTTGGGTAAAATTGTCATTTTTATTATATTGGCTTTGCTTACCCATGAACAATGAATATTTCTCCAATTATTTAAATTTGACTTTATTTATATAAAGAGTGTTTTATAATTATATTTATGTAGTTCCTGGGTCTGTTTTGGTAGGTATACTCAGATATTTTATACTGTCTACAGTTATTTTAAATGGGTTATCTCTTGCTATGTCTTCTAGCAGGGTTTTGGTGGTGATATATAAAAATGATTTATATGGGTTTATTTTACATCCCACTATTTCATTAAAATTATTGTTTCAACTAATTTTTAGTTGAAACTTTAGGATTTTCCAAATATAGCATCATATTGTCTTCAAAAAAGAGATAGTTTATTACCTCATTTCCTATTCTGATCCCTTCAATTTCTTTTTCTTCTCTTATTGCTATTGCTAGAATTTCTAAAGCAATATTGAATAATATTGGTGACACATAGTCTCACAGTTTCATTATTTGTTGTGGGGGTTGTCTCGAATGAATTCACAGAGTCAGACCACCTCTAATCCAATAAGGGCATTTATTGGAATGATGCCTCCAATAGGGTGAGTTCTAAGAGGAACCATCAACTTAGTAAAACAGGCATTATTATATATTATGATATGTATTAATGTAATACATTACATTATAGTGTAATGATGCTGATTATACAACAGAAATTATGAATATTAAAAATGAAGGAGGGGTTTATTAAGGGATTAGGTAATGGGGAGGGGTCCCTTCTATGGTTTGATGGTCAAACATCCTGGTCATGCGGCTTTCTGATTGGCTAGCTACTGTGGTCCTGTCTGGTCAAGATGGATAGTTATGTATTGTGGTCCTGTCTTGGGCTAAAATGGATCACATGATTGTGGTTGAGTGCAATGACACACCTGTTCAAATATGTCAATTGGACTTAGGGGCAGTGGTTAGCTAGGGGTAGTGGCTGTATTGAGTCTGGGGGCCTGTGATATGGTTAAAGCCAGATTGTGTGGTTAAATCAGGACATGCCTATTGTTCAGTGGGGCCCATAAGGAAGTTAGAATATTGGGGCTAAGGGAAGCTTTATTAGGATTCCATCAGTAGTGTAGTTTCCCTGTTTATCTCTTAATTAAATCTATTTTAGCTTAAACTTTGTATGTGAGCATGATTGCTACCCCTGTTTTTTTCATTAGCTGAAGCATAATATATTTTACTCCAATCCTTTATTTTAACTGTGTGTATCTCTCATTTTTAATTGTGTTTTTTGTAAACAGCAAATTGTCAGATTCTGATTTTTAATACATTCTGCTATCTGGTTTATAGGTAAATTTATCCCATTCACATTCAAAGTTATAATTACTAGTTGTGTATTTCTCTGCTTTCATCCCATTTTTCCTCACTATCTATCCTTCTGGCCCTATTTACCCTATCCCTCCTCATGAGTCTAATTTACTTTTAACCACTACTTTGCCCTCCTATTCCTTAATCTACCCACCCCTGTAAGAATCCCTCCCTTATCTTCTCCCCCCACCCTCCTAATTTTTAATCTTCATACTCTTCTAAAAGTCCCTGCTTTATCCTTTATTTCATCACCAACCATCTTAAATCTTGCCACTGGACACTGAGGACTCTGGAGAAGAAAGTGAGGCTGAAGACTTTGCACAGCTCTGCCTCATTCAAATCCAGCTCATGACCTCCATCACCCTCATGGTGTCATTGGTCCTCTTCCAGAACGAGGAACAGCATTGCCACTTGCCAAAGGTGACATAAGCAAGAAATGGAATTGGAACCCAGATCTTCCTGACTCCAACTCCAACACTCTATCAACCACACCAAGCTAGCTCCAGGATATGTTAAGAACAAAAGAATTGGGAGCTATAACAAACTAGGGGTGGGAAGAGATCACTTTCTTTTTTTTTTTAATTTTTTTTAGATAATTTATTTATTTTTAGTTTTCAACATTTACTTCCATAAGATTTTGAGTTTTAAATTTTCCCTTCTCCCTTTCCCACTCTCCCTAAGATGGCCTGCAATCTGATATAGGCTCTACTTATACATTCATATTAAGCATATTTTCCCATTAGTCATGATGTAAAGAACAATTAGAACTAATGGGAGGAACCTCAAGAATGAAGTAATAAAACGAAACAACAAAGGAAAAGGAGAGCAAATAGTATGCTTCCATCTGCATTCAGATTCCATAGTTCTTTTTCTAGGTGTGGATAGCATTTTCCATCATGAGACTTTTGGATATGTCTTGGATGCTGATGTTGCTATGAAGAGCTAAGTCTATCAAAGTCAGTCATCGCACAGTGTGGCTGTTACTGTGTGCAATGTTCTCCTGGTTCTGCTCATTTCACTCAGCATCAGTTCATATAAATCTTTCCAGGTTTTTCTGAAGTCCATCTGCTCATCATTTCTTACATTCATATACTACAATTCGTTCAGCTGTTCCCCAATTGATGGGCATCCCCTCAATTTCCAATTCTTTGCCACTGCAATAAGAGCTGCTATAAATATTTTTGTACATGTGGGTCCTTTTCCCATCTTTATGAGTTTTTTGGGATACAGACCTAGAAGTGGTATTACTGGGTCAAAGGGTATGCACAATTTTATAGCCCTTGAGGCATACTTCCAAATTGCTCTCCAGAATGGTTGGATCAGTTCACAACTCCACCAACTATGCCTTAGTGTTCTGATTTTCCCACATCTTCTCCAACATTTATTATTTTCCTGTTTTGTCATGTTGGCCAATCTGTTCGGTGTGATATGGTACCTCAGAGTTGTTTTAATTTGCATTGCTCTAATCAATAGTGATTTAGAACATTTTTTTCACTTGACTATAGATAGCTTTAATTTCTTCTTCTGAAAACTGCCTGTTCTTGTCCTTTGACCATTTATCAATTGGGGAATGACTTGTATTCTTATAAATTTGACTCAGTTTTCTACATATTTTAGAAATGAAGCCTTTATCAGAGACACTGGTTGTAAAAATTCTTTCCCAGTGTTCTGCTTCCCTCCTAATCTTGGATGCTTTGGCTTTGTTTGTGGAAAAACTTTTCAATTTAATGTAATCAAAATTATCCATTTTGTATTTCATAATGTTCTTTATCTCTTGTTTGGTCACAGATTCTTCCCTTCTCCATAGATCTGAAAGGTAAACTATTCCTTGCTCTCCTAGTTTGTTTATAATATCAGTTTTTATATCTAAATCGTGTACCCATTTTGACTTTATCTTGGTATATGGTGTAAGATGTTGATCTATGTCCAGTTTCTGCCATACTATTTTCCAGCTTTCCCATCATCAAAACTACTTGGTACTGGCTAAGAAAGAGAGTGGTGGATCAGTGGAATAGGTTAGGTATGCAAGACACAACAGTCAATGACTATAAGGATCCAGCATTTCTAAGATTTGCAAAGTACTTTATATATATTATTTCATTTGATCCTCACAACAACCTGGTGGGGTAAATGCTTTGAGAACATTAAAGTACTATGTAAACATAAGCTGTGATTATAATTCCTATTATTGAAGACATCGAAAAAGATGTATTTTAAAGAAATAATGTATCTTAAAAGTGCCGGTGTTCCCATTGTCCAAAAAATTACCAACTAACTCTAAGGCAAGCCGCAGCAGTGTATCAACTCTGTGGGCACAGGGATGGGGGTAGGGCCCTGCCTTAGCAAGCCAACACAGCTGGCCAAGCAGCAGGGCCCTGTGAGGGCAGGGAGACACAATGCGGCTCTGAGCAGCCTCTCAATGGCAGTCTGTGTTCTCAGGCTCTGTAAAGGGGGACCATCCCCCAGCCCCTTCTTTCCACTTCCCTTTAGGCCCCTCCCCATGCTGGACACTCAGTAACCAGGGCAGCCTCAGCCACTCATTACTTTCATGAAGGTTGGCACATCAGCCCGAACATTCTGAGATGGCCCCAGGACTGGGGGTTCTGGCGCTTTCCTTGATTCCCATGACCAGGTGAGGAAGGACCAGGGGTGGGCACCGCTGAAATCCCCTGGATGAACGGCATAGAAAGCATAAGGAGCAGGGTCGCCCAACTAGATTCAGGAATGGTCTATATTATGTAGAGGATGCGCAGTGCCAGGGCCGAAGGTGGGAAAACGCTAAATGGGGGCCCCTGGTGAGTGGCCATTTGCAGGGGTCGGCAGCACCAAGCCGGCAGGGGTCGGCAGCACCAAGCCGGCAGGGGCAGGGTTACCCAGGCTAGACTGCCTCCTTAGTCCCACCCCTAGAGGGGGCGGGAGCAGGAGCCGGAGCTGCCGTCCGCCCGCCTGCCCGCCCGCCGTGGTCCCAGCCCTACCGCAGCTTCAGCGGCTCCGGCTCCTGCTGGGCCGTCTTCCTCTTTTCCCAGTTCTTTCCTTCTGCCTCCTCCCCCCTGGCAACCCCAGTGCTGCCCTTGCCCCTGTCCTTGCCCCCAGTTATGTCGCCTCCGGGGCTGACCTGGGCCCCAGCGCAGCAGCTAGCCGGAATACTGTTCATCCTGTTGGTTCCTCTGGGTAAGGGGGTGGGGGGTTGGAACGGGCAGGCTTAGGGTGGGGAAGGAAGACAGTGATGGGGTGGGGGAAGGGGGACATAGGACCCAGAGGGAGCTCCTGAGGGAGGGAAAGACAAAGGGCTATGGAAAAGACCCTGGAGTATTATGGGCCCTGAGAGAGGAGGTGGTAACTGGATTTCCCGGTAGAGGGAAAGGGTGATGAGACCGGAGCGCTGGCAATCGGACCCCAGATTTGATGCCTGGAAAGTGGGCATGGGGTCAGATGCCAAGGAGTGAGATCTCATTGGCAGTAGCTGCAAGGGGGATGGGGCTGGGGAGTTTCGTGGCTGCCAGGAGTCCAGTGGGGACTGGTATCCGCAAACAGTTAGAGGGAGTAGGCTGGAAGAGGGGCAAGCATGATGCCCACTGGGTGCCTACCGTGTTCGTAGTGTTGGCAGATGAGGACTGCCTGTGGTATCTGGATGGGAACGGCTCGTGGCATCCTGGGTTTGACTGTGAATTCGCCTCTTTCTGCTGTGGGACCTGCTACCACCGTTTCTGCTGCAGAGATTTGTCCAAGCTCATCACTGAACGGCAGCAGAAGCACTGTCTGGCCTTTAGGTGTGAGCTCCCAGCCCTTTTCCTCCCAGCCTCCTCCCTTAGTCTTTCCTCTCTGGTCCTTCTTCCTCCTCTTCCATCTCTTTTCCCCCCAATGGCCCTGTCCCTATTGACTCTTCTTCCTCGCTCTTCCTCCTGCCATCCTTTTGCTTCTTCCTCTCTAATTCCACATCCATATCTGAAGCTCTGGAGGCTAACTTGGTAATCACAGCTAAATGGTCAGTGTCTGGGAATGAAACTCTGGACTCCTGCGTTTCATAGAAGGAGTCAGTGCTGCATACTATAGAGCCTGGGGCTTGGCCTGGTATGGGCCCCCAATCTCCTCTCCTAGAGCCTTATTGGTTGTTTTTTTCCCTGTCCAATAAGATTCCCAAGAGAGCTAAGTTAGCAATAGAACTCAGACTATGCTCTGTCCTCTAAGCTAGTGCTAGTATGAAGGAGATGCAGCAAATAAATGAAAGAGTTGGGGTTGTACCGTGCACACTCTCTTCCTCAAGTCTCTCATCAGCTCCCAAGAGCCATGGTACACCAAGGAGAGTATAGCTAGAAAACTAACTCTGCAAAACTACAAGTCCCAGGATGCCCCATATTCAGTCATCTAGATATCTGCTGGCTCACCATGGTAGGGAAACTAGGCTCCTGTCCCTAGGGAAGAGCCACAGAATAGGTCCCTTCTTTTCTTGACCCCAGCTCTTCCTCCCCCACTCCCTCCCCCCAAGAACTCAAGTCCTGGCTAGAACCAAGCACAGTATGCTGGAACCTATAGTCTCAATGGCTACAATGACAAACCAGGATAGTATCCATCTAGTTGGAGACCCAGGTGTCCTGGCTCCATTCTACATGGGCTGGAGGTTGACAGGGCCTTACTGTGCTCATAGCCCCAAGACTATCGCGGGTATTGCCTCTGCTGTGATCCTGTTCATTGCCGTGGTAGTCACCACCATCTGCTGCTTCCTCTGCTCCTGCTGTTACCTGTACCGCCGACGCCAGCAGCTTCGGAGTCCCTTAGAAGGTATTTACTGGTGGGGGTGCCAGGAACCCACGTAGGCATGGTGGGATGCAAGGTGGGCTGATTTGGGCATGAATGTGTGTGTACCAAGGTTTGGAATCACTGGTAGCTTTACTGTGGGATAGACACCTTACTGCATATTTGAAAGTTATATATGTAATAGAGCGTGTGAATGTTAGGTGATCTATCCAGGGCAGTAGATTGGATGTCATGCTATTAGAATGTGTGAGAATAGCAGAGTAGCAGATGTCATAGGATCATAGTTAGAACTCAGAGAGACCTTAGAGGTCATCTGGTCCAAGCACCTCATTGTACAAGTGAGGAAACTCAGGTCACTCAGCTAGTTAAGTATCTGAGGCAGGATTTGAACTCAGGTCTTCCTGATTCCAAAGCTATAGCTATCTATACCATTTCTACTCTATCCACTTATACCACGCTGCCCATGGTGATACTCTCACCTTGGCAGGTGGGATATATGACACTTTGGAGATGTGTGGGAGTCACTGTGAGTGGTGGTGGCAAGGCCTGGGGGACTTAGCCCTTGGGCAGCTGTTCTAGAGTTTAGGATTCCAAGTGTGAGCTTTTGCTCTCCCTGTCCCAGCTGGTATTCCCCAGGTGGCTTGTTCTCAAGGACTGAGGACTCTGAAATCTGAGCCCCCTCTAGGAATTGTGCCCTCCCTGACTGGGGAGAGGGGGGGGAGGTATCTGCTCTGTAAACTGATCTGCAGCAGTGAGTGTCTGGGGCCTACCCACCACTCCCTGCCCCATGTCTCTAGAAGCAGAGGGGCTAGGAAGGAGGAAAAGCAGGGGGTGGGGTATGCATCCTGCAGCCTGCCCAGCTAGAGTGGGGCAGGAATATCACTAAGGTGCTGCCCTAGGTCCATTTGAAGTAGGGAAGGGTCTTGATCCCACCCTGGGCAAATCCCTCTTCCTCCCTGGCCCTTATCTTTGTCCCCAATAAATGTAGGGGATCAAAATTCCCCTCCCTTCTTATAGTCATACTCATTCAGTTAACAAGTATTTATTCTGTGCTCACTCTATGCCAAGTCTAAAGTCTATCCTTTGTTGCCCTAGTTCAAGAGATCCCGATGGCGGGCATTCCCATCCAGCCAGTGTATCCGTATCCTCAGGACCCCAAAGCTGGCCCTGCACCCCCCCAGCCAGGCTTTGTGTACCCGCCCAGTGGTCCTGCCCCTCAGTATCCTATGTACCCAGCTGGTCCCCCAGTCTACAATCCTGCAGGTAAGAAATGTTGTCTTCCAGTAGAATGCTCCCAACTCAGCTTGGACATCTTCCCACCTTAAACCCTGAGTTTGATTTCCCAGTTATGAGTTCCCTTCTCACGTGCTTCTGAGCGCCCCATCCACGTTCCAACCTGGCTTAGCCTCTGTCATTTCCTTCCCCCAGCCTGCCAAGGGGAGTTGTCCATGTCACTAATTCAGTTCCTTTTTCTTTTCAGCTCCTCCTCCCTACATGCCATCACAATCCACTTACCCTGGGGCCTGAGGAACCAGTCTCGTATTTTTGCAGCCTTCCCTCTAGGCATCACTTGTTCGGAGGCACACCCTGATTTCTCCACCTTGCTCTACTGGTGGGAGAGGATCATGCAGAAGGATCTATCCATGCACATTGAGCTTCAGACCAAGCAGGACAGATACTTTGTTTTGGGATGGGCTCCCTGGAGACATGGAACAGTCATGGGACACCTCACTGGGAAGGGACTTTGGGGTAAGAAAGTTGGTGGGATTCTTTTTAATGTAGGGGGAAAGATATGAGGTGTTAAGAAGGAAAGCATGGTGGGTGAGGGTACACTCTATGCCCTGGTAAGTAGTGCCACCTTCAGTAGGCCTGTTGCTCACCCACCTCTGCTGCTGTGTCCCCCGTCACACCTCTGCCCATCTGGGTGGTGGTGAAGGCGGAAGAGGGCCAGATCTCAGTCACCAATCATCCTTTTACTCCTCATTTTTCTCCCTTCCCTCCCACTACTGCCCTGTAAACCAGGGCTATCCACACAGATTAAACCTGTAAATATGTAACACGTCTAAGTCCTACCTTCAATATCTTTGAGCATATCCTTGGTTAGCAAAGACATAACCCAAGTCTGTCCCCCACTGTCCACCCAGTGTGGATAGTTGTACCTACTTCTTCCGGTTTTCCTGACTTGGGTCCCCTCACATTCCCAGGGGACAGGTTTATCTCCTGCCAAGGGAGGGGCAGGGACACCAGGGTAGAGACACCGGTAATATTCTGACCTCGAAGGTTGGTATAAAATCTGTTGGGCATCCTGGCACCACATCCAGCTGTGGTTGTCAACAGAGGTACAACTAGGGCTTTGCTATGCCAGACAAGGGCATAAAACCACTCTGGTTGTTCCCTGGGTTATGGAGATGAGGCTGCTACTGCTGCTATTGGATGTGTAGGAAGGTTGCTCTGTAGTTATAGGGATGACTCACTTGAGGTAGGAGGAGCAGAAGGGGGAGACGCCCAAGATTTTCTCAGGTTTGCTTATAATTTTCCTGGAATGATATGGTGGTGGGTGCTGTGAGGAACCCAAGTTGGCAAAAGAAACTCAGAACCCAGAAGTAGAAACCAGAGTATCAGAGAAGGTGAGAATGGATACTATTTCTTCTTGCTGCCCTGGGTCTTAAGAAGCTCCCAGTCCTTCCACCAAGGTGTCATGGCTCCCATTTGTCTGTCCCTAAGACTCCATTCTTTGCTGCTGCCAGTGTCCTCCTTCCCTTAGCCTTGCCAACTGGTCCATGGATGCATCTTTCTCTAGGAAGATAGGGGGGCTCAGCTTTTGGGCCCCTAAACAGAAGGAATATGCTAGAAATCTGGTAAGCAGTTCTCTCTTACCTTGGGCAGCTGCCTAAACACCATCTTGGGCCCCATTCTCAAGTACTCAATGTGTTCTCAGATGGAGATGTGTTACCAGCCAATTCTTGGCTGTCTCTAACTTGCTATGTGACTTTAGCTCAGTCATTTCACATCCTCTGGTCTTCAGTTTCCTCAGTAAAATGAGTTCAGGATGTATCTCTTAAGGTCCCTTTCCAGCTCCAAGATTCATTGGAAATGGCAGAGAGGATCCTGTGTCCATACAGTCCCCAGAAACTTTTCTAGGAGTGCAAAACAGGCTCTTCCTCAACAGGGCCACAAGTCACACTGCTGGAGTAGGGTAGGGGAGGGCTTGGGCCTGAGATTCTTTTTATTCAAGTGGGAAAAAAAATCACCACTCTAGTCTCTCCCAGCCCTCCCCCAATCTCATCTGTTCTCTACACACTTCCAAGAATCTTTCATAATCTGGCTAACCAATGTCACTCAATAACTGGTTCCTTCTCCTTTGGCCTACCATCCTCATGGCCTCATCCCTTAGCCCCTTGCTTCCAGCTTCCATCCTCCAACTCTGTATTCTGCTTCATTCTCTGCTAGATCTTCTTTCCCCCTTTAACATCCCCTCTGCCTCAGGCCCCTCCACCACTGTCTCAAGTCTTTCAGTGAGGTGCAAGTGAAATGAGAGGCTGGCTTTGCTGGAGGTAGAGGTCCCAGGTCAGTGCCAAGGGACTAGCCACAGCACCCAGGGCTGCTGCTAGCCCTCCTAGCACTGAAACAGTGTCTCATTAACTCTGCACACTCCCTGCAGAGGGCTCTCAGTTCTTCAGACAAGTGTTCCTGGGCTTGTGCCAGTCACTCCTCAGCAAAGCAAGGTGGGGCCAAGGTTCTGCCCATTGTGAGGGTGAGGCCCCCTGTATAGTCTCCCCTGCCTCAGAAACCCTTCTCAAGAAACCCTCAGACCTCCCAAACAGTCCTCAAGCCTGCCTGTTGTTGAGGGGTTCCTACCCATCAGTAGTGGGTATGGAGCTATCCCCACAACTCTGCAGCTATCTTTCTCAGAGAGGTAAGGTGATGTGAGATGGGTACTGGTGGGACCTCTGATGGGCCAGGCTTGACCTTAGATGGCTCAAGATCACATACATCTTATGTACAATGTAAAGTGGCATCCAATATTCTTGAGTCAATAGCCTGAGACTGTTTACTGAAAACAATAGAACTCCAGCAACATATCTCAAAGCTGGCCTCCCATAAGGCTGTAAGCAGAGGGAGAAGGGTCCTAGTGAATGCCACTCATTTGTGTAGAAATATTTCCCAGCATGGTGTAGTAGTGAGACTGCTGAATTTGTAGTCAGAGAACTTGGGTTCAATCAATCAGGCAGGTGCATTTATTAGGCACCTACTATATGCCAGGCACTGTGCTAGGTGAGTACTGGGAATATGAAAACAAAAATGAAACCATTTCTGCCCTCAAAGAGCTTACATACTGTGGGCAGAGACAACATGTACACACATATAGAAATACAAGGTAATTTGGGTAGCCAGGTGGGCCCATGTGTGTAGTGCCAAAAGTAAGAGCCCCTTGGATAAATGAATGAATCACTGTGTAACTGAAAAAAAGTCCAGCTCCCAGTCTGCCACATACTGTAACCTGTGTGACCGTGGGCAAATCACTTACCTTCCCTGAATTTCAGCTTCATCCTTTGTAAGATGAGGGTTGGAGTGAGACTGGGTAGTTTCTTAAGGTTTAAACCTTCAGCCAAGAAGGGTAAGCAGCATGGATTCCTCACCCACAATTCCTGTGTACCCAGATGCCCCCTCAGAGCCTGCCACCTTACAGGGATGGGTAGCCACTGGGTAGATCCAGCAGCCTTCAGCAGATGAAGCCCTATTGAAGGTCTAGTATATTAAGTAGTCTAATCCTCAGAAAAGGAGATGAGAGGCACAGGCAGAATCATGGGGCAGTTTACTCTACAGAAATAGATAGCATGGGCTGGGGGAAGGATGGGTGAGGGTGGGGGAGGAGAAGCAGATATTTACTTTTGGCTGTTATGAAAAGATCCTGGGCTTGATTGGTACCAAAGCAGTAGGAGCACTAGGAATGGCAATGCATAGTGGAGGAGAAAGGGAAGATTAGGGCCAGAAGGAAAAGAAGAGCATGGGATGGATCATAGATCAAAGTTGGAAGGAACTATAAAGGCCCCTAGGTGGTGCAGTGGATATCATGCCCAGTCCTCGGAGCAAATATGATCTCAGACACTGACTAGCTGTGTGACCCTGGGCAAGTCACTTAACCCTGTTTTCTTCAGTTTCCTCATCCTCATCCTCAAATGAGCTGGAAAAGGAAATGGCAAACCACTCCAGTATCTTGGCCAAGAAAACCCCAAATGAAGTCACAAAAGAGTCAGATAGGATTGAAAAAAAACGATTGAACAAGTCCAACTAGACTCAATTTACAAATAAGGAAGCTGAGTCACAGGACTTGTTTCAAGTCATACAGTTAGTATCACAGGAAGGACTTGAATGAGGACCTTCTGACTCCACAGGCAATGAAATAGGAAAAGGAGAAGGAATGGGGAGACATTGGATAGGTAAGAAAAGGGAACTGAGATTAGGAAGAAAGGAATGGGCACAGAAGAGGGGACATAGAAGGGGAGATATAAGGGAGAACAGAGAACATGAAAAGGAAAGAGAGAGACAGAATCCTGGTGCTTCGGACTGGGGAAGCTGGCACAGGTGATATAGGTAAAGCTGGAACATGCCCTGGAGTGGGAGTCAGGGAACGTTTTCATACCAGCTGTGTGACTCTGGGCAAGTCATTTCACAAGCTGCTTTGGGTCCCATTTCGCTATTATTATTATTATTATTTTTTTTTTTGGCGAAGCAATTGGGTTTAAATGACTTGCCCAGGGTCACACAGCTCAAGTGTCTGAGGCCGGATTTGAATTGAGTGGTCCTGACTCCAGGGCTGGTGCTCTATCCATTATTTCCCTATTTTCAAATGGGACTGACAATGCTCTCAGTTCCTGCCTTGCAAAGTTGTTTCAAGAAAAGGGCTTTCAATCTGAACCTGAAAGTGCGATTGAAATGGTACCTATACTTTTTTTTTTTAGGCAATTGGGGTTAAGTGACTTGCCCAGGGTCACACAGCTAGTAAGTGTCAAGTGTTTGGTGTGAGGCCGCATTTGAACTCAGCTCTTCCTGACTTCAGGGCCTGTGCTCTATCCACTGCGCCACCTAGCTGCCCCTTGGTTCCTATACTTGCTAAAGTGCCCAGCGGATGGGTTGGGGGAGAGAGCGCGAGCCTGGGGCAGGGATATAGGTGCTGAAGTTGGGCAGGCGGCGCCAGAGAGAGCGAGCCCTCGAAAGCACTCCACTTCCCGGAGCCAGCGTCCCCGGCCGGCTGTCCCGAGTCCAGCACGCACTTGCAGCCGGGGCTGTCGGGATTTGGGGGTGGGCTCCGAGGGTCCGCAGTGCTCCTGGCGATGCCGCCCGATCTGGTCGTGGGCTCGGCGGTGCCAGCGCCTAGTCGTGCGTCGTGAGCCCGGCCGCGTTGATCTGGTTGGTCCAGATCTTTTGCTTCTCGTAAGCGTTCACTTGGGTGGCTGAGACAGCAAACAACAATGCCTAGTATTTGAGCACCATGCCCTCGATCTCCTAAACCGTGAAGTTGGGCTAGTGCTACAGCAGGCCCCTAACTCAGCTGCTCGCCATCCCGGCCCGACGGACAGGTGCGCGCGGGCCCCAGGTCACTGCCGGGGAGCCCCCTTGGTGCTCAGCGTGGCCTCCCCCTACTCGGGCGACTGGGAGCCTGGAGGGGGGTGGGAAAAGCCCGCGGAGGCTCCAAACCATGGGTCAGGAAAGCAGGGAGGCTGGGGGGGGGCGTGAGGCAGATGCCCCTGGGGCGAGGCGTGGGGACCCGGAGGAAAGGACACCGTAAGACACCCCGAAAAGTGAAAGAGAAGCAGGGACTTGGGTGGGTGGGGGGACTAGGCTGGCTGGAGGAGAGGAGGGTTGGGGACGGGGCGTGGACCAGGAATGAAATGGGGTGGGGGGGGTGTTGGTGGAGGAGGGATGATGAGTTAGTTCTTCTGAACCTGGAGAAGGAAGTCTACTAACCGACCGACAGATGAACCGGTGCAAGCTCCCGCCGGCATTGACTAGAGAAAGACCGATCCCTCCTTGGAGAAAGGTGATGGCGAGAAGA